TTCCTTTTATTACTGTTACATGTGAGCCTACTTCCTTCTAGGTCAGCAAATCTAGCCCCCTTTTTCCTGAGATAGTGTCCTCCTGACTATCTCTAACATTCTTCCCCCGCCATCCACTCACTTCTTGACATGAGTGCTAGCAACAAAAACTTCTCGTCATCTACATAGAATGAATTTCTCGACTGTATATGCTAATTTGCTTGAGTTTTCTCTCTTTTCTAAGAGAACAATTCACATCGAATGTTTCACGACATAACCAGCACCTTCCCTTCTTAATTCTTATGCTGGGGTGGCCCCTGGCTGGTTCCCTGATTCTGTTTCCTGGAAGCGTTCGTTCTATTGAAGGTGAGTTTTAGGGACCATTTTTAGGAACCCTATATCACTTCCATGGCTAAACCGACTGCATTTTCCGGAGAAACCCCCACAATTTTGGACAATAGATCGCTCTATGACCCGCATATTTTCAAGTCCAACAAACCAGCCTATATCGTGAGGGTGTTGGTGTAAAGAATCCATGCTTCAGGAACCACTCCCTCCTATTAGGGTCCGTCTTCCAATTATCCGGAGGTGCCCTCACATTCTCTATGACAAGGGCTTTCTTCTCTTTACTCTGCCACCTTTCTGATTCCTAAACCGAACTCTATCTCTTCTCGTCTTCTTCCACAATTTCTCACTGCCTTTGGCCAAACCTATAGCCACTGACAACCTGGTTGGGGCTTCCCTAACTACATCATGTGTGATGTCTCCAGCACATCAACAGACATATCCGCCAACTGGGCCTGACTAATATTTTGTCTTACTTCTTCATGGAAGACCAAGGCTGACAATTATGTCACTCTTGCTCCCAACTCTCCTGGAGTCTCTTCCCTTGCTTTGGACCAGTCTCATGGGGTTTCTCATAGCTTCTGTCGTCATTCCCTTTTCTGCATATTCGTCTATTAGCAGTTTCTCTAAGTGCATCCATAATTAAACCAGGGCATCTCTATAGGTGTCCCACCTCCCACAAAATTGGAAACGTGGCCCTCGGCTACATCATACGCTAATATCGCCGTCTCCAGCTCGGACTGTTCGTAGATGAACCGTTTTTTTTTGTGTTTTTGTTTTTTTTAATCAATCACCGTCAGCCGTTTTTTTTAACTTCTCCGGGTCCCCCTCTTTACGTTGGTAATCTGTGACCCATAGCAGGTCTCTGAAGTTACTCGACACTTGAATATTTTTCACTTCTAAGTCCCCATCTATAGACCGCTCCGGTCCAACATCACAGCTGTGCTCACTCATCCCAACTGATCTAATCAACCAACAAGGGAAAAGAGATACAATCCTACAAAATCTAGTTACAACCAAAAATAAATGCTATTAGCGAGGTGCAAAAGAAATCACTATGATAGATAAAATACAGGGAAACCAAAAAGTGTCCTCTCCTGTTACTTGACTTGTTTTGTGCTGGCCTCGACTTGATAAAACAGGAAAACACGCCCATGCAGTTTCAGAATCGTATAGTCAATTGACTAATGTCCATTGGTTCTTACTCCCGTAAATTGTCCTTTTTTCTACTCTTTTTCTTCGCTTCTTCCGGGATACGTTGAGCTGAGCATTTTGATCCGGACACCAATTAATATAACATCTTCAACCGACGGTCAAATCGTTCACCAAATAGTTAGGCCGTAAATAGTGTAACCACGTTTAGTGTTCCAGTCCTCAGGGTCTTAGAATGACGTTTTTACTACGGGGCTAATCTGCGATGGTTAATACTTGTTGATACTTTTTTGTGTGAGATAATTTTTCTATGCCTGTTGCCCACTGCTCCGACAGTATTCTGACCCAGTTGATGACGTGGCATGAATCTGGATATTTTTTTTCAAAAATACGTTTGACGATTTTTCTAATGGCTGCAAAGAAAGAACAGAAGGTTCCTAAAAATATAATTTTGTTTCTGCTGTTGAAATTGTTTTAATATTGGAAAAAAGTTTAAGAAAGGAACTGTAGATAAAAATACTAGTGTAATTGCTTCTTGTTTCAAACGTGGTAAAATGGTACTTTAAGGTCATGAAAAATAACGCTACCATCTTTGTGAAAACAGTCTCTGGACACCACTGAGACGTAATTCCATTGACCTATTTGTCTTGGAATTCATAGAAACTAATACTAACAGTAAATTCGAAAATAAAATGCGTTTCTACAAAATTCATGTCTTGTTTTCTCACAGAAGATCAAAAGAACAACCGTTTGACTGTGTGCCTTGATTTGAGGGGAAAAGATCGAAATCACTGACAGATACTTCACAAAGTTGTTACTGGGGATGAGCTTTGGTTTTACAATTACGATTCGAAAACGAAACAGACATGAAGACAAACAAAAGCGCCAAAGTCTAAGATCCATAAAGGTGCGTTTGGCGTGATCCGATGTCAAGACAAATATTGATTTGCTTCTTTGATGTAAATGGGATTGTGTTGAATCAGTGCATTTATTTGGTTACGGACTGGGAAGATTCCAGAAAGAATGAAATACTGAAAAACAATATAAATGGGATTGCTTCTTTAGCCACGACAATGCCCACCTCTCGGCAAACACGTCCTTGAGCGTCCAAAGGCTTTGCACTAAAACATACTATTTGAAATTCTATTCTCCCCGAAATTTTTACGTGTGACCTGCTTTTCTTGTTTCTTATGAATATAAGATAACATAACCCGAACGAAAAGCTTTTGCTGATGTTGACGATCAGAAACAAAAAACAATCGAAGGTTCAGACAAAATCCGCAATGAAATATTCAGCAATTTTTTCCAGGGTGTACTTCGTGGTAAAAACTAATAAAATATTTGAAAATGATTCCAGTTATTTTGTGATGCTGCTCATGTATGTGGATATATATATATTTGTTATATATATATATATATATATATATATATATTACTTCTGATAATGCAAGACTATCTTAGCAATTAAGTTCTCTGAGTGACTGGTGTGTTCATGAAAAATAAATGCGCAAAAATTCGCTTTTCTCTCAGCCGGGTGTCCATAATCTAGCGGTTAGAATCCCCGACTGATGCCAAGTCGGATGTCTGGACCCAATGATGAGCAGTGATACAGTGAAATAGTCTGTCTGTGGATATATATATATATATATATATATATATATATATATATATATATATATATATATATATATATATAAAAAAGTGAACATTGAAGTCAACACTCAGAGGCGACAGGCTTTTTTTTCATGCTAGACGCAATTGTCAGGCCGCGAATGTTGGATTTTCTCTCGACTATTTATATATATGGGTCAGTGGTGCATTGTGGCAAATCTATTCTTGCCGTTATTTTTGCGAAAGTGTCTTGTTTCTTTATTTCTTTATTTATTCAGTTGTTTGTTTGGGTTAATTTATTTAAAAAAAATTAATCGAAACGAATAAATAAATGAACAAATTAACAAATCGCCCCGCTAAAGTAACCGTTAGAATTAATAAAAATAAGAATAAATAAATAAGTAAAAATAATTAATCCAAATAAATAAATTAAAAAGTGTCATCCCGCCAAAATAACAGAATTGACTACAGCAAGCAATCTTGACATTGGACTAATAAATAGTTATCTTCCCAGACCAAAACAAACCATTAAATAAGCGACCTAAGCATATCACCCCCCTTTTTTTTTTTTTTTTTGACTACGTGAATAAAACATCAAAAACCGAAAAGAAAAAATAATAATAAATGAAAATGTAAAGCAAGTAAAATAAATTAGTGCAAACAAATAAAGAAATAAAGAGCAGGCCACTTTCGCAAAAATAAGCGCCAGAATAGATTTCCCACAATGCACCACTGATTCATGTATATAAATAGTGGAGGGAAATCCAACATTTGCGGCCTGACGATTGCGTCTAGCATGAAACAGCCTGTCGCCTCTGAGTGTTGACTTCAATATTTGCTTTTATATTTATATTTACATACGATATTGATCACGTTATCCCATAAATATAGCACACCTTGAAATTATATTTCTTCATATATATATATATAACGTTCGCTTTCTGACCATGAAACCAGTGTTCGAATCTCATCACAGTTGATTTGTCAGGAAGGAGACTTAGTTATCGGTCTGGAGGGGGACGATCCCAGCGTGTGTCACCTTTGGAATGTGCCTGAAAACCATGCCGCGAGTTGACCTAAGCTTTGTGAGTGAAATTGGGTAGACGGAACACTTGGTGGGGGGTGATAGCTGTGCTAGCAAGAAGTTACAAGTCACCGTGAGCGAGGTTTTTGAGTGGTCTGGCATTGTTCAGATTGATAATGTTAGATAACACGCTCTCTCTGGAGGTGTTGAACAAACTCAAATGTGCCTGAGCGAACGTCTACAATAGGGATTAGCCAGCCTCCCTACTAAACGGGTATCCTCGAATACGAGTGGCCAACTATTATATATATATATATATATATATATATATATATATATATATATATATATATATATTAACAATAATAAATATACATTTTTTCCTCACTGCTAACCCAACTCTGAGTTCCAGGCACAATGCCATCGTTAGGTGTATATATGAATTTATATCGGAGAATACAATTCCGGAACAAACTTGTATTTATTAGATTATTAAATACAATCTCTTGTGGATTTGGGGGATTTTTTCTCCTTGTTTATCAATCCTGATTCTTATTACTAGACGTGTATTCGTTGTAATAAAGAAACTCAAATCCTCAGAGGAATAAAATGTGAAGAAAGACATCAAGTGACTGTGGGATATGTTAATTATAAGGTATGTTTATTTGCCTTGAAGCAATTGTCTATATTTAACTATTTTGACATCAGCAAAACGACACTGCTGACCAAAATTAGGACAAAAAGTGAAAGGCATTTCTTTTCTGATTGGCCAAACATACACATTTCTCTGCGCATCACATTCTTTACGTGTCTAATCTCACTTAAGGCTAACAAAACCTGACTAATTAGACATAATTAGCAATAAGCACTATTTTCTTTTTCTGTTTTTTCATAAACGTGAAAACACACATGCACACACATCAGATAGATAGATAGATATGAACAGACTAATAGATAGATAGATAGATAGATAGATAGATAGATAGAAATGTACAGACTGACATGGATAATTTTATAGATATTTAGATGTGAACAGACTGAGATATCTAGCTAGCTAGCTAGCTAGATAGATAGATGTAGGTACCTCCCCTCAGTTTCGATACGTTGGATTAAATGAATTTTTATAAATGAAAAAAGCTTTCTTGGAGTTTTCTTTTTTAACTTCAATTGAAAGTTAAATGATTAGATTTGGAAAATACCTTGGTGTATTTCAAATAGAAATTAAATTGATTGGAATCTCAACTTTTTGGTCGCTTTCAAAAAATCATTTCAATTTGGCGTTCTTGATACGTTTTGACACATTTGTAAATGAAATTTAATTCTCGGTTTTAAAAATCTTCCAAAAAATACAATATATATATATATATGTGTGTGTGTGTGTGTGTGTGTGTGTGTGTGTGTGTGTGTGTGTGTGTGTGGCACGTCATTTGAGAAAAATTTGCAAATTTAAAGTTAAATTGATTTGATTCAAAGAAATATTACTTACTATAGCATAAAAAACGTAGTATACAAGCATAATCTTAACCACGGTTTCTTGTTTTTCTGATGTGTTCATTGAATTATTGACATTCTAACGAGTATAATTGTCCAGAATTTATATAAAATTACGAATTCTAAGTGAACGCTTTTTTGATTTTTAATTACATAGTAACTTTTAAAAATTAACATATTTTCAGCAATTTTTTAATATTTTATTGAATTTTAGTTACTTTACCTTACATTTGAAGATGCTTTCTGAAAAATATAATAAAATTTAAAATACTATAAAACTTTCTTAAATTAATTTAAAAATCTAATACCTGAGATATTAATGAAACACCATGATAGATATAACTCAGTAACTTATGAAATCTTAAGCTATTTTATTTATTATTAATTTATATTTTTGTATATCTTAATTATTTTTCATTTTATCTTTTATCCTTAATTGTTATCATGTTCGGTATGAAATGTTAAAGTTATTTTTTTATTAAATTTTTATTGTACTTTGAATTCTATTATTAATTACTTAATTGTTTACACATTTATTAATTTAATTCAATTCCCTAAACAATATATAAAAAACTATTTAGTGAAATAGTAATTTAAAAAAATATAACTCACTTTAACATTTTAAAGGAATGATTTGCATGACATAAACACGAAGAAACACGGAAATTAATGATGAAAGAATTGCAGACCGCCAACATTTTCGTACGGTAGGACAAAAACACCTGACCTTTTAAGGATAATGTCATGTATGAACTACCATACTTACAAAAATGGGAATTTTTATACGCTAAAAATCTTTTTCTAAATATTGAGTGGAAACGACTTTTATTGAGCTTTTCAATTTTTGATTCTAAATATAGTTTGTCTTAATAATATTACCTAACCAGATTGAAACAATGCAGAATTTTAAACGATTTATAATATTATAAATTATTATAATTAAAATTTAAAAAAATAAAAACGATTCTTGTAAAAATTCAGTATTCATCGAAATTTTATCTTCTTAAAGCAATAGTGTCCTAAATATATATTAGTTATTAAAGCAATTAAAAGGTTTTCTAATTAAATAATGTCATAGTTTTATTGCATTTTTTATTTTACAGCAGATTTTCGGTAACTGGCTGTCCTGAGTTACAAAAGAAACTGATGATTTAAATTCTCCAAGGAGTCCTGATTTTAACTAATAAAACAAATTTTGAGACTGAAATTTAATTTCTCGAAATTTCATAAAATTAAATAAGTGGGGATGGCATATATAAAAAATAAATATTTTTTTCCAATATTTTCTACAAAAAACTTCAAAATTAATTTAATTCATGTTTTAATAAATTCTGAAAGTTTCATTAAAATCCGACAATTATTTAATTTTTGCAAGAATTTCCAAATCAATGTGTTTTTAACCTGAAAAAGTCGTTAAACATATGTAGACTGCTGACGGAAAAAAACAAGATTTTGAAACAAAATTTCGACCGTGCGAGAAAGGATTAAAAAATTTTATAAAATAATAAAAAATAAAAATATTAAAAATAAAAATAATGAAAAAAATCCTGTTAATAATAACAAACATTTTGACAATAAAACTTTGTTTTTATTAAGTTTGGGGCTCTTTTTCAGCAAAAAGGTGTGAGTACCTAGATAGCTATGAACAGACTATAAATAGATAAAGTTTTAATATCCTAATATCTTCTTTCTAATTTTTACCTTTCTTGTCATTCGATTGTTTTAATTTTTTACATTATTTAAAATGTTGTCCTCATCTTTATTGTCATGTTTACGACCTTTTGAGCTTCTTCAGGTCAATGGAATTTCGAACTGAACCCTTTATTTCGTCCACCTGGGTAGATTGTTCTAGTTCCACGTGACATGTATCTTCCGGATATCTCAGTTATATTTAACATTTTTTTTCTTTTTTTTTTTTGTTTGTCATAGCCAGGTATTGAACTCACAACTCTTTGGATCAAGTCAATCCTTCCAATCATCATTAAATGCCAATTGTTTTACTGAAATGTCATAAATCATGAAATAGTTTCATATATCAACATGTATAAGGAATGTATAAATCTTTGCTTATTACATCGTCTCATTTATCTTTCTTTTGCTCTCTCTCTCTCCCTGTCTCTCTCTCTCTCAACACAAAAAAAGAATTTTAACGGATTGCGATCTATACAGCTTTCCTACTTGTCATGCATTTAACTAATTTCTCTTGGTATCCATCAAGCCTGGTTCATTATACATTTAATCGTTTCCATCCCATCACACTCTTACTCTCTCTCTCTCTCTCTCTCTCTCTCTCTATATATATATATATATATATATATATATATATATATATATATATAATATATAACCGTGGGTAATTCATCTAAGTAGATCCTATTAATATAAAATATTAAAACTGATCTACAAAAGAGAGCTCAATATAACACACCCACACACACGCGCGCACGCACACACACATATATATGAATGATACGTAATTAAATGACAAAATGCAAAAATATATTCTCCATATCACAACAATATACTGAAACAGGACACAATACAGGAAAAGTTAGTTTTATGCTTTTTTAAAGGTTACATTAACGACATCATCAGTATCGTTCAAAATTTAAATTCCGATTTTTGCGATACGCACTTATATATATGTGTGTATGTGTGTGTGTGTGTGTGTGTGTGCAGACGGATGTTAAAAATATGTCGTCACAAATCTTTTTAGCATAACAGTTCCATGATGTAAAAACTGATCAACAGGTACTTGTGAAGACAATGTTAATTTTAGGTTAATTTGTAAGCAATGATTATATCCTGTCACTTACTCTTTAAGAAGAAGTGGTAATAATCAGTCACCTCTTACAAAAGTGAAAATATTTTTCCATCCACTACATTTTCCCCTCAGTCGCAAGCTAACGTAGCAAATACTTTATAGTAAGTATCTCCAAAAAAGGCAACACCTCAGGTTTAAAATGAATTTTATAAATAAATATTTTTTTCTTGAAGCTTTTATTTTAATATTAAGTCCAAGCTAATAGATTAAATTTAACATTTCCAAAAAGCAAAATAATTTGTTGTAATTCGATCTGAATTTAAATAGACGAATAAATCAACCATATTGACAAATTTGAAATTTCTCTTTATTTTTTTAATAAAGAGAAATTTCAAATTTGTCAATATGGTTGATTTCAAAAATAAAATATATTTTTCTGAAACTTTATTTAAGGAAGACTAACTGATCTAAAGTTTAATCAATCTGAATAAAAAATAAATATTACTTATACTTTAAAATATCGTAGAACAGCGTTTTTTAACACGGAAGGATGTTTTTATGAGGTGTTGATGGATTTATCAATAACCTGATCATTGAGAGATTTAGGTAAGTGTAGTTAATTTTTTTTTTTTAACTACCCAGTAGTCTGAAAAATTTGAAATATTTTAAACATTCTAATATTTTTAATTAGAAATATGCTTGTTGAGAAAATGTTAGAAAATTACCAATAAATTTTAAATGCACTGTAGTTACCGCCCTTGTTTTCTGATAATGTCATGTATAGACGCCATATTTACAAAAATTAGCATGTTAATACACATACAAAAATTAATTCAAAATTCTTTTTAAAATACTGGTGATCGTACTAAGCTTTTTCTATTCATGATTAGTAAATATAGTTTTTATTTAATAACAATATCACCTAACCCTTACAAATAATACACAATTTTAAAACATTTAAAACTTTAGAAACTATTATAATTAAAATTTTTAAACGATAAAAAAAAAACATTGTAAAAATTCATTACTTAGAGAAAAACATTTTTTACCAAGAATTTCTGAAAAAAAATCATTTCTCAAATAATTTCATTCATAATTTATGTCCTCTCAAATGTAATAAAACTATTTTTTCCATAATATATGTTGAAACATGGGTAATGAAAAGGATCTAACAAATGATGAAAAACAGAACATCACAGCAATATAAATAAATTGAGAGGTAGAAATGAAGGCAAAAGCTTTAGGACATGATACCTCGAGGGGAATGTAAACTAAATCGAGCTAACAACTTTTGGCCAGTGCTCAGATCTTCGATCAGGCTGGAATTGAAGGAATGAATAAGGACAAAAGGTGTAGAATACTTCACAAATTGGGATCTGTCACGATATCTCCTAGGCAAACATCTCTCAGTAAAGCAAATATTTTAAAGCGTCAAAAATTTGGCCAGGAAATTCATCGACATTAACTTTTCTAAAGCAATTTTCACGCACAAATCTCGGGTGACAGTCGATAGACCAGACGGATGGGACAAAGGATGGATTTTTTTCTAATGTAAATACGCCTGTGGCTAAAAGAAGGCAGCGAGGAGGCGGCAGTGTGATGATATGGGCTGGAATTGTTGACCAAACCATTATTGAACCATTCAAAGTCGATGAAGGAGTTAAACTGAACAATGCTAACTATTGTGATTTCATGTACAAGACTTTCTTTGAAAGGTATAAGCCCCAGCCTTGCATCTTTAA